GGTCATCCACAAACAATAAGGGTTGGGTCCTTTACATCTTCCACGCTGAAGCTCAGCACAGGCTCCCCTCAGAGCTGTGTGCTCAGCCCTACCTGTACTCTCTGTATACATATGACTGCATATCCTCTGATCCATCTAACATCATAATCAAGTTTGCAGATGACACAATGGTGCTGGGTCTCATAACTGAAGGGGACAAGTCAGCATACAGGGAAGAAGCCCAGAAGGTATGCGCATGGTGCTCAAGATAAAATTTACAACTAAATACTAGTAAGACAAAGGTGCTAGATTTCCGGAAACACAGACAGGAGCCTGCCCCACTGTATATCGAGGGTGGCTGTGTGAAGAGGGTTTCCTCTTTTAAATTATTGGAAGTGCTTATTAGTCAAGATCTCACCTGGAAAAACAACACGTCTCTGGTGATTCGAAAGGCCCAACAGAGACTTCATTTCCTTAGAGTCCTGCGAAAAAATCAGGTGGAACAGCGGCTAATGACCTCTTTCTATCGGTCCACCATAGAAAGTGTCCTCATATATTGTGTTACAGTATGGTATGCTGGTTTAACAGCTGCAGACAGGAAGGCACTGCAGAGAGTGATCAATTCGGCACAAGAAACCATTGGTTGGCCTCTGACATCGCCAGCTCTCGCTGCTTTAGCAGGGTAAGGAAGATACTCAGAGATGAAGAAGACATCAAAGTATAGCAAGTCGAACAAATAGATTTAAAGATAGTTTCTATCCTTGGGCTGTGAGACTTTTAAATACAACCACAATCAATCCATGCACACTAGTTTTTTTCTTTCTTTTTTAGTTTCTGTTATAATTTTGCACCAGTGAGGTTAAAACCGATTTCATTGTATTTAAGTACAATGACAATAAAGATTATACTTATACTTATATCCTAGGATATTGTTCACCTCCAGTCAATTATGGTTTATTTGGTAAATTATAATTAAGTGAATTATTATATGCAAATTGACCTCCCCCCCACACACACACAGAGTTCTGCTTTTTTGTATCAGAGTATTCAATAAACTTCCATGCCCGGCATTAGTTTAGCATGTTCTGCATTGAAGCTATTGTGATTTATAAACCATGGTTTATAGATAAACATGTGTTGCAATATAACCCTTGAAAGTCCCGTTACATAAATAGTAATATTGATTTATTTCCAAAAATATCTATACAACCCAATCTTAAAACTCTGCAATATAAAATAGAAAAGTGACATTACAATTGTCTTAATTCAGCCATTTCAACACAGCTACAAAATCTACTTAATGGACCGTTGACAAGAACCAAAAGGAAGGCTTTATCACATCTTGAATATGGAAGAGGGGAGACTAGGCTCATCTCTGGGCTTGCATTTTTCAACATATGGGGAGAAGTCCACACTCCTTTTGCTTCATGATAGGACTGGACCTTGAGGAACCTCTCCCACTGGGCAAGCAGATTAAATATGGGTAAGATAGTCTCTTGCCTTTTAATTGAGGAACTCATGCAACAGCGTCTGACAATTTTATGTTGCTCTTCTGCAATTGGAAATTGTTGTTATCATCATCATCGTCAATCATTGATTTATTGTATTGTACATTCACATCACATTTCAATTAAAAACACAAGAGATAAAAATATAAAATTTAAAATGTTATAAACATACATTTAGCTTAGAGATATAATTTTTTGCTTCATTTGTCACAGCCAGGAAATCAGCAATGTCTCCATTTTAGGTTCTATTGTGGCACTCTGTCACTATATGTTGGATAATTTGTTATTCAGCTCTGCTGTCAGAATTCAGTGATGGCACTTTGCCCCACTTCTAAAGGTCATCTGTACATCTACCAGGACTATTTTTCAGTGTTGTTCATTTGGTTCAGTGTTGTCCATATTGCACAGGGCTGGTCAAATCCAGGTGGTTTTTCCAAGACACAGGGCAAGCTTCGACATTGTGGGTGGCAATTTTCCATCCAAATATTGTTCACATATATTGTGTATGTTCAAATCATCTTCTGCAGCTAATTTATTTTTATTTTATTTTTGCAAATGGTAAAAATCTAAGACCTTTACTCTGGTATGCCAGAATATTCTCGTGTGCTCTATCAATAAAAGATTCTTGCTATTTTCAAATTTGAAATATTTATATTTAGATGTATACAGTATGTGCATCTGACTAACCCATAACGCATGTACCCTCAAATACCTCCTATGAGATCAGTGATAGGCTTTGGCCATTAAAAAAAACAAAACTAAAATGTATTTTATTTTTGGGTGCTGAAAGTATATTGTTCACAGCCATCTCACTATGGTTTGTCCAATAAAGCTTAGAATAGAATAGAATAGAATAGAATAGAATAGAATAGAATAGAATAGAATAGAATAGAATAGAATAGAATAGAATAGAATAGAATAGAATTCTTTA